GACAAACTTGTTCGTACGCACAGATAGATATGAGAAGAGCGCAATAAGTAAGTGAGTACAAGAGAACATTATTTAAAACAAAGACTAATGGCATAAAAGCGCAAAGTGTAAGGTGTCCTAGGGGCGACCACGGTCCAGATATGTACAAACGAAAGATGTGAGCGGATGGATTAAGTTTTGGCAGCCTTTGACGAGGGTCCATCGTCGTCTGCTTGTTGCTTGCGTTTGCTGATGATGGCCTGAATTTGCTGCCATTCGCGATCGACCTTGTCGTTGCGCTGCTGACCTGGACCAGCCCCACCGCCACCAAGTCGGCGAGTACGCCTACCCTCGGGCTTCTTCACACCGTACTGGAAGGCGGCCTTCGGCATGGCCTCCTTGTTGGACATGTATTCGCCATACTCCTCCTGGGTCTCAAAGTCCCAGCGCCCAATGGGGCCCTTCTTATTACCCAAATCCATTTTGCTGAAGTCAGTCTCGTCGTCTGAGTCCCCCATCGCATCATAGGATTCAGCAAAGCCAGGATAACACTCATCATAACCTGAGATCTCCGACTTTTTAAGTAAGCGTTCCAGACTGGCCTGTATATGAATGAAATACGGAGTTGCAGTAACAAGGTAAATTCGAAATCAAAGCAGACGCCTTATGCAACAGTGTTTCAAGTAGTCAAGGAATGTCAACTTTGATCACGTTTTTTCATCCAAAGCGAGAAAATTTGAGAAGGAGACTGAAAAAAAACCAAAAGCTCCAGTAAAGCCAAGTAGTGCGCTGTGTACAAAAGGTTACGCTTGTTAACGAACATTTACTTGGTCCAGTTTCGTGAAAGCAACAGCAAAACTCCACTAACCCAGCCCAAGACATTGACAACTTCAGTTTAGCCGGCAAGCGGATGATTTTGGCACGAATTCGATCGGGGTCTGTCTTCAAATACACACTTTGATCAGGACCGGCGTAATGTAAAGGATCGTCAATATCTTTCGAAACAGAATCCAGAAAGAAAACTGTGCATCCCCTAGGTTATTTGACACGTCAGAAGATTGATGGTGCAGAGGCCTTTAACAAGGGCTATGTGAGAAATAAGCACCACCTGGCGTCTGACGAATAAGCAGCCATCGAAATGAAATGAAATGAAATGGAAATGAAATGGATTCTGTGATGTGGGAAATTTTGCTTTGACACATGCACTACCTTATATTGTACGACAAAGCTCGCTGACGGCACTGTAACATGGGGGCCGTGAAGCCGCACTAAACGGAGTATCCTTCCACCGCAGGTGTGGGGTCTGGTTTTAACAGCGAAGGCAGTCTCGAAAAAAAGAGTGGCTGTCAGGGGCTTACTTATGGCGAAAATTCCTAGGATGCCTCCTAGACCGTAAAACAGTCTAAATAAGGAAGTATCAAAACCGTGTCTAGTCATGCCAAGTGATTTTAACAGGATGTAAAACTACCGCTTAAAACAAAATGGAAGTACTGGGTAAAACATAACTTTACCTTTTCCTTAACTCCCTCGTCCTCCTTTTTGGCGCCGTACTTGGCGGTCAAGTCGCGCAAAAATTCATTGGTCGCGGCTATGGACCCATTTACAGGCGCATTAGCACTTGTGCCCCCTTCATTGCCGACCTCCGGTTCGGGTCGCTCGAAGTAACGTGACTTGGGTTGTTCGCTACCCTGTGAGGGTTTGTCCCACCGACGCTCAGCCTCTCCGTGCCGATCGGACCGGGATGAGGCTTTACCGGATGACTGTGTTTGATTGTTGGCACCCGAACGAGCAGCGGAGGGCGCTGGAGGGATGTATTCACTCGGCACATCCTCATAAATGGGAATGTGTACAGCTAAAAAAACGGAGGGCTGTCATCTCAAGACGAAAGGTGGAAATAATGGCACACAAGCTAAGCAGTGAGGAGGTACTGGGGAGAAAGAACGGAAGAGAGAGAGGGAGAGAAAAAGCAAAACTACTTCAAAGTTCCGGCTATGCTAGTAGGCAGTAGTTTTATTGCATACCCGGTTTCCGATTTTTATTTTCAGCCACCACTTCAGGATAGTCTGCTTCGGGGTCATTGGGAGCCATGCGTAATTTAGCCTTGGCCTTTTTCGCCTGCCGTCGGCCAGCTCGAAGATAGGAGAAGATCTGCGTGAGTTTATTTATGACAATATCGTTAGTTGTCAGGGCTCCTGACTCCTGCTGATCAACGTAGGGGCAGTCCGCTTTGCTACGAATAACCGTAGCTGGTACATCGAATTCTGCCAGCTCATCTTCCAGATCAACTCGATACGCCATGCGACCAGGCTGGAAGTACTCATTTCGCTCCTTCTTCTTGAAAAGAATTTCGAGGAGGTTGGCTGCAAGACGAGTACGAACTTGCAAGGTCTCCTCCTTTCTATCCAGCGGCTTCTCTAGTTCCGAATTTAGCATCTCATCTGCCTCTTGCTCCTTGCTTTGAATCTCCATGCGCACTTTCTGCAGCAGAACGTAATCAAGACCCTTCACAAGATGAGTGTGCTCCATGTCACCGCCAAGGTACTTAGATTCCTTGATGAGTTCACGGCGTCGTTCAGCGTGGGAGGCAC